AATTTTTATCGAGAGTTTCCTTAGGTGACTTCGGTTATCTAAGATCTAATTAACTATAGGGGCTTGCCCTTATAAGAAGCTTGTCTGAACCTAGCTTAATATAAACTTTATTTAATTCTTCATATTAAATAGGGGGAATTATTGACAAATAAAAAGTTTTGCAGACAAAAAAAAATTCATATATTTCTTAATTTATTTGTTTGACCCTAATCCTTAAGTCTTGTGTTTATCCTTTAGGATAGATACAAGGTTTCAGATACAATGCTCTTTCGTTTAAACTATGAAAAATATGAGATCAGTTTGATTTCATATTTTGCTAAAATTATATATATATATATATACACGTAAATTAAAACATCCTTCCGAAGCGGGCGATGGGATTTCAATTCCGGCTGCCGACAGCTTCTTACGGGCGACCCCCCAAACAATCTCCTTTCTTACTTTTTAGTGCAGACATACAGGAAGGTCTCAAGTATATTTGCATAATCAACCTTGAAATGATTGATTTTTAAATATGAATTGAGCGTGGACTTAATTGCAAAGTTCTAATTTTAATATCCCTATCTGTGGGAATGGCCGAGTCAGGGATGAGTCATAGATTTAAGTAGTGGAGCGAATGAAGAAAACTAACCTAATTTCACTCTACAATTTTTATGTATATGCCACTTTACCTATGCATTAAAATGTCTGCTTCACTTTTTAAACGTTAAAATAGTGGTATTTTTTGAAGTGATATGATTGAATTGGGTGGTATAAATGTGCACAGAAACTTTAGGTGTTGGATATGTAAATACATAGTGTAAATGCCCCTTTTGGATATTGTTTTTCCTCGTGATCTCAACTCTATTTCTAGTAATTTCTCCAAGCCATGTAACTGAGCAACTAATTGTTTCAGATTTTTATAGCGTGGGATCACATTTATTTATTTATTTATTTATTTTAAATATATATTTGTTTAGTGATTTTATTGCTTGTTCTTACTTTTATTTTCAAAAATAAATTAGATTATTTTTAAAAACATTCAAAACATCTAAAAGTTATTTAAATGTTTTTAAAAATAACTAAAATTGTTATAATATTTTATTTCCAAGTAAAAGTATAAATAAAATAATATAAAAATAAAAAAATAGAAATTAAAAAATATATATATCAGAAGTTATCCTATATAAATTCTAACTGGATGAAAATTCAATGGCAATGCATATTGATGTTGGTATTTGTAATTTATAGAGGATGGCACAATGCATATCACACTAACAAAACGTGAGAAAGGGCACACTTGGCCTTCTCCAATTCTGGGACAGGGCACACTGGATCCTTACTCTGCAGATCTTGAACAGAAACGCCTTATGTTGCAGAGGTTCCAAGAAGAGGTGCGCCCGCCCTAAATTACTCTTTTTTTCTCTTATATATAGTTTATATTCATCTCAACTTCATTTTTCTTATGTTTCATGTGTTTCTTACTGGTAAAGTTTTTTATTGTGTTCAATCATAATCTAATTTGTTTCATTTCTGATATATTTTAGCAAGATTATGATAATTAGATCGGACTTTTTAAGCTAGAAGAGGGAGAGGTTCAAGGTTCAATAGATGAAATGGATGTTTTAATAAATATTAAATTTATTTTAATATAATTTAAATGATGTAACAATGATGCATTAATACTATTTTTATCAATTTAATGTATAAGAGGGGCATTTAAATACATAACACTCAATTCATATGTATTTACGTATCTAGCACTTAAATTTTTTTTTTTTTGCATTTACACCACGTAAATATTTCATATCACATCAAAAAATTTGTTAGGTAAGGTTTTTTTTTCCCCTCCTGAGCATGGTGAGCCCAATGGGCAATATGCAGAATTCAAACCTGTGATCTTATAGTGGGAAACTATGTCATCAATCACTATGTCAGAAGTTAGTGCGCATTGGAAAGGTGTTATGCATGTAAATGTTGAATCTTAGATGTTAAATATGTAAATACATAAGAACTGAGTAGTATCTTTGTGAAATTTTTATATAATATTCTAATTTAGGACATTTCATAATTATTTCAGATATAATTCCAAAATTAAATCTTGGGATATTATCTTTTAACTATTTTCTCCTTTTTCTTATTCCGAAAACTATCATATCCAAAAATAGAATCATATATCCATATTAGAATCGGCTGGGTCATCGAAAATCGGTGCCACCATTCACCTGGTCAATTTTGTTTCTAGCCGATTTTGTGCGAAGACGGCTTTGAACCTGACCCAACGACAAGAGGACCGATTCATGTCAGACCAGTCGGACCAGCCGATCCGATTTTTGATACATTTATGTTACACCAATTACATTATTTCATTAATATTTTTTTCTTCTTGCTTTGATATGCAGAACCCAGGGTTCGATTTCTCTCAGGCTCAATTTTCAGGGTCCTGCCCAGATCCTAAGTCTTTCATGGGTGGCATCCGCTTCGATTGATTGAGCCTTATTCCTGTGGGGCTGCTGGCCTATTCTTATTTTAATTTTCAGAGTTCATTGTTCTGTGCATTTTGTATGATATTCAAGTGCCTGGTTTGTGTAACATGTAACATCAACATTGAAAGACATAATTTATCTCCTTTAATTTTTTGGGAGACTTGAATGGCATAATTAATTTTCGTTATTAGTTAAATGGTTTCTTTCTGTTGATTGCCGCATAATTGAATGGTAGGATTATGGGAAATTTACATATATACCACAATTCTCATGCATTTACATGCTAACACCTAAGTTTAATATTTATATTTATAGCACTTGGTGTTTAAAAGTTATGCTGGAAAAAGTGTATTTCATTTTTTAAAAAATTGTGAAGTAATATTTTTTTTATGTGAGTGGTATGTATGTAAATATGAAACTTTAGATGTTAGATATGTAACTATATAGTAGTGTGGTATGTATGAAAATGCCAAACTTGAATGAAAAAATATTACTATGTTATGACACTTTGATTTATTTCATCATATATTATTTGTATCTGATACTCCCACTGTTGGGCAAAAATAGTAAATCAGGAATTCTGATGTAAAACTGTATTAGGATTCCAATCACAATGCGTCATGTGTATGATTTGATTCCAATGAATATAAAAAATTAAATATTTTAATACATGATGGGGTTGGACTGCATATGTGGCACATTGTAATTGGAGTTTTGATATAGTTTTGCATTAGGACTGCTGATATAATACTTTTTCCACTGTTGGAGGCTTATCTCTAACAATGATGGGTGGGAAGCGTTTATACGGAAGAAGAAATCACCCCATATAATCAATTTTAAAATATTTGGAATGATGCATAATTTGTTTATTTCTGTTTGCTCCTCCAAAAAGAATATTACTTTGTTGCATTGGTATAAACCTTGTGCACCTTATATTAAGATTAATATTGATGGTTGCTGGAAGACTAATAATGCTAGTGTGGGGGGTGTTTGTCGTGACTCTATGGGTTCTATTCTCTATTAGTTTGCGGCTAAGGATGTTCCTGTTTCTCCTCTGGTTGCAGAAGCTGATGAGATGGTTTTTGGTCTTCAGGTGGCTAAGAAAATTGAATGGCAATTTATTGTTTTTGAAACTGACTCTATTATTTTATGGAAGTATTGCAGATTTCAGGATGAGCATCATTGGAGTGTTAATCTGCATATGAAAAAGAATTAAGGATTTATCCAAGAACTTACATATCATATGGAATCATACTAAGAGACAAGGGAACTTGTTGGCTCATTGGGCAGCTAAGCTTGGATCTAAATTGAATTATGTTGTGATTTCCAAAACTATTACTGTTGTTTTTGTTCAATTTGCTTTTTTGGACGTTTCTTAATTGTTTTTTTTATTTTTTCTTTTCTTTGGTGTTTTGTATTTTTAATTGGTGGGTGTGTTTTATTTTTCTTTTTTTGGAAAGATGTCCTTTTTTATTGATGTTTTGTAGGGTTTAGGGTGAGTTAGGATCTCTTTCCCGGTTTTGTTATTTTTCTTTGTGTTAATAAAATGAGAGCCCATTGATGCTCTTTAAAACAATATATATATAT